AGCTGATTTGCATTAACACATTAGTTCTAAATGTAAGTAGGCTATGTTAGGGGAAGTGTCGAAAAAATTGACAAACGTTTTAGAAAATTTAAATCCTTCATTTAATCACCAGATTTCCTGTCACTGAAAAGGTGCAGAGTTTAAATTTGTTTTAAAAGTGTTTCAACTGATGGCACAAGCTTCAAATCTTTTAAAGAAACTATTTAAGTCTGAAGAGTATTCTTTATTCAAAAGGCAGGGTTTTCTGTGGGGCATCACTTTAAAGCTGAATTAACTGATTTGTTTGAACACTTGGAAAAAAAAAACACTGACATATTATCAGCTTATCAAATTGACATTTCAAACTTGCTTGTAAAGAGTCAACCGTTTAAATGTCCTGCAGACGCTAAGCAACATTATTATTATCATGTTTCTGACCACCTGATAAATGTAAACCCCGTATTCAGTCTCTTTTAGCTTTGTTTTTGGTATCCACCAACTGAGGGAAATATCTGGTTATTAAACTGCTAAATGCTCCACTGTGTTCATCTCTAACTGTGTCTGTCTGCTGTTTGGTGGTGAGCAGATAGGGCATGGTGGGATATAAGAGGTTTTTCTCTGAGACCAGCTGCTATGGTGGCTTTATACTGAGTTTGAGCTCATTGTTTCGCCATCTTACCTGCAACTTTACTGCTTTGGTTCACTCTCACTGCTGTCAAAGTGTAGTTTTCAGCCGCAGCAAGCTGCTGTTTTTCGTGAACAAGCTCTAAAAACCCAATGTATGGGGCATCGGTGGCTTAGTAGATAGAGCAGGCGCCCCATGTACAAGGCTGTTGCTGCAGCGGCCCAGGTTCAACTCCAGCCCTTTGCTGCATGTCATTCCCTCTCTCTCCCCTTCACACTCAGCTGTCCTATCATTTACAGGCAAAAACGCCCCCCAAAAAATATCTTTAACAACCCACTGTACACAACCTGCTCAGCACTGGAGCTGGGGCAGTTTGTGTACTTGTGCAGAACTGTCACAGGGGTCAAAATTTGGCGTGTGCAGCCAAACACAGAATACACGTAGACTGAGCCACGTAATGCAGATCCAAAGTTCAAAAGCGTGAGTTCTTCTTGAAACTTTAGATGAACACCGTTTGCAACATGTGCACATCAAGTGGATTGGCGTGGAGGTCAGTCACAATATGGCAAGTGCAAATTAAACTGACTGACCTGCGGGTTCCCGTTCAGCTAAAACAACAGAGGGTTTTTTTTCATGAGATCCAAACGATGTGTCAGCGTTACTTCACTGTTGTTGGTCATGTGAATGGAAATACATTAAACATGCTGATGCACGTTTCACAGCATCACCAAGATGTGCTAATCACCAAGATGATAAATGTTTGGGTGCCTAAATATTTAAATATAGCCAAGGTCAAACTAATTGAAACACACTTCTGATGCACAAGTTTCAATGTGTATTTTGATATTTTCAATTTCATATCAAAAGAGATGCTTTCAGTTTATAGCCTATTGTGACAGGTTTCTTTTTGGGACAGTGTTTGTTTAGCATTGATACAGTGTGACACAGAAGTGTTTGAAGTGTTCCTAATGTTTATAGTGAAAATGTAGATGCCAGAGGGCAAAATGCTCCCTCAGTCCTCAGCAGGAGGGTTGAGTCTGTCTTTGACTCTTGCTCAAACGTTACTGCCTCTTCAAAATAAATGGAAAGATAGGTATTCTAGTAGATTTGGGGATGTTTTTTTCTGCTGCAACAACTCACACCAAACCATGACTTTTGTGTACCATTACACCCCAACTCACCACCAAACAGCAGAAACAGTTAGCAACTACCTGGTGCACATAGCGGAGTTGTTAGTAGCCTAAGAGCCAGATATTTCCCAGTTGGTGTAGACCAAAACAAAAGTAAAAGTACATGTAAATACTGGACAAATAATGGGCAACACTCATGAGATCATTACTGCCTGTAATGGGCAACAAACAATAATTTGCTGACAGTGTCATTAAAAAACTAAAACAAAACAAAGACTTAAAAAACTCAAACACCCTCAGTTTGCTGTTCAACATCCTGACTCTGAGGATTTAGTTTCAACATTTTCTGACTACCACCACAAATTTAAACGAGGGTAATTTCAATACAAACACTCAGATCCTCCAGTGTCTGAAACCTCCCAAACATTTTTATTTCAACCTACAGGAAACAGCTGTTATTGTAATGGAGGCCATGGACATGCAGGCTGCCTCGTCCAAACACAACTTCATCTACAATTCGAACATTGTGTCTCAGTACAGCTGAGTAGGGACGTAAAACTTCCTGCTTCCAGCTGATTCAGGACAGAGCACATGAGCTGGGAGGTTGGAGGATACGTGCAGAAAGTCTGCAGCACAGACTATACGTGCACAGGATCACACCATGACTGTGCGAACAATGATGTAAAGGCAGCTAGATGTCCCGAAGCTATATTAGGAATACAAACAACTGAAATCAGGTCTCTTGGTTCATGTGTGAGACGAGCATCAATGTTTGTTTAAGTTTTATCTTACTGTACTTTGTAACTGTGCAACATGTCATGCAAATATAGTTCCTCTTTGACTGTCTGGTTTCACTTTGAGTCATGACCTTAAAATTAAACAAATGTCTCAGCAGTTTTAAAGCCTCCAAACCACCTATTCCTGACAGGCTATTTCTTGGTGTATGTGTCAGAGGGTAAGAATAAAGGAATTTCCACAACAGTTTGTTACTCGGTGATGACAGTCAAACTTTTAAGGTAAGGTTTAAGATATTGCTAAAAACACAACATATAAATCACTGACTGTGTAAAGATGTACAACACGTCTACATCCCAAATTTGACCACTGCCATCTCACACTGTGATGTCATTTGGAGCCCGAGTCTGCGCAGTAGCAACCTCTGAGGTATCAAGTTCTCGCACAGACACTTGTCCAACCAATCGCAAGTAGCGTCACTGATGATGAGCTCACAGACTGGCACACAGCGGTCAGTCATGACGTCAAACCCCCTTTTTATAGCATCAAATACCTAATTAAAACCAAACTTGTCTTACTGACTGGGGTGATCCCGACTTTTCATCTAGTGCCGCCATGAGGTTCACATTCGTGGTTTTGACTGAAATGTCTACTCAACTTTTTAAAATTATTATGGAATCAATCATGTCCCACATACATCATGATGAACTGTAATAACGCTATTAATAATCTGACTTTTCCTCTTGCGCCACTGTCAGGTCAAAATCTGAATGTTTCTATTACTTTGGTTTATAAGAAAACACATATAAAACCGATTTCTCCATTTACTGTATATTAAGTGCTAATTAGCCAGTGTTAACACGCTATATTCAGAGGTTAATGGCTTGTTTTTGTATGTAGTATGTTGATTATAAGACTAGGGCTGTTACTAAGGACTATTTATTATTCTATTTTTACTGACAAATGCTTTCTTGATTAGTATGTTTTAAAAACATGGGGAAAATTGTACAAAAATGAGCATAATAAATTCCCTAAAGGCCAAGGTGACGTCTTCAAATTATGTGTTTTGTCAGACCACCAGTTCAAGACTTAATAACATTCAATTAATCAACACGTGAGACAAAGAAAAGCGGAACATTCTCACAATTTAGGAGCTAGAAATGTCAAATGTTTGTAATTTTAGGTTAAAAAATATCGATTGATTGTTTATATAGATGCAGAACATTTTAAATGTATTCATAAACTGATCCTTTCATTACCACATAACTTCGAGCTTACAGGAAAGTTCCCTTTTTAATCTGACCAACATAATGTGTGTTTCCTAAAAATGCTTTCCTGGACTAATATCACAGAGCTGTGGTTTGCCAAAATGTACCGCATGTGTGCGTCATGTCATCTGTACCTCATCAGTACACCACGTGCCTTGTGTCTGGGTGTATACGTGGTGCGCGTGTGATTGTTGGATTGTGTTGTCAGGCCCGAGTCCGTAAAGAGGCCTGAGGGGTGAACTTTCCCCTACTTCTCACACTGACTCCTCCATCTTTGAATATTTTCCAGCATTCCTGTTTCGTCCTGAGGACACACAGCAACTCCCCGCTTCACTTACTGAGATAAATTTTATTCAGTTATCAGTGTTTTATTTGTGGAGGATACAAAATGTGGTCATCTTGTTAACCACTGTATTGAATCACCTATCTTTTTATCTGTTATGGATGTCATACTGGAATTTTGTTTTTCTTTTTTAGGGATGAAAAACACTGAAGTTAGATGAACATGTCAGTCAGTAATTTAAGTTTTCAAAGTATTAATGCAAACAGAATATGAACAAATGAAACCTGTGAGATGTGGGATTATCATGTTACATTAAATTCCAACAATGAAACAAACATTAATTGATTAGTCGATCAAAATAAAGTTCAATCGGCCACAATTTTGAAAATCCATTAAATGTTTTAAGTCATTTTTCAGCCAAAATTCCAAAACATTTGATTGTTTCTCAAATGTGAAAATTAAATGATTGCTCTTGGAATAGTATTTAAACATTTTGGGGTTTCCAACTTGTTGGTCGGTCAAAACATGACCTGTAATGATGTCATCTTGTGCTCTAGGATACTGTGATTTTTCATTTTTCAGTGTTTTCTGATATTTTATAGACAGTTAATCACTTAATTTAGACATAATCAGAAAACTAGTCAATAGTAAAAATAATCCTTAGCTGCTAGTATTTGAACACAGCTGGAAAAAGCTCAGATTACATGTAAGAAATTTTAATTTACTTACTTATTAAACTTTAATTATTTCACCCACAAAGAGCTGAGCTTATAACATAATCCATGTCTCTTTCCTGTATCAGCAAGAGTTTAATCAGTAATTTAGACCTTTCATTGCATCATGATCCAAGTCCTCATAAAGGGCACCCACTATGAAACTCTCCACGCCTCCAACCTCCCTCCACCCCCTCCTCCAAGATCCAGCAGCCAATTAGAGGAGCCCTCTGCTGCAGCACTGAGCTATAAAAACCTCACAGTGCTGACCGTCAGCACACAACAGAGACAGAGAGAGAAATCAGAAGCAGCTTTCACACTGAAACAGCAGGACACAAAGATGAAGATGCCACAGCTTGTCATTCTCCTGCTGACCATTCTGGTACACGCAGTGGCTGCTTTCCCCACAGACAGAGGTGCCCAGGACAAACGTGCCTCCTGGGACGACGTGAACGTGGTGGCTCACGGCCTCCTGCAGCTGGGCCAGGGTCTGAAGGAGCATGTGGACAAGACCAAAGTCCAGATGAGAGACATCAACACCAAACTGAAGGCCTTCAACGGCACGGTGGCCGAACTGGAGAGGAAGCAGCAGGAGCAAGATGAAGCTCTGAAGGCAAGAAGCAAAGAGGGAGAGGAGGAGAAGGAGAAGGTGGTGGCAGAGCTGGTCGAGGAGGTGAGGGCGAAGGTGCAGGAGGGGCGGACACAAAGCGAGGACATCCACACCAGGATGGACAGACTGGAGGAGAGGCTGGATGAGATGCTTAAAGAGCCAACACTGGACAGCAACAACAGTGAGCACACGGGAGTCCCATTTGTCCAGGTGAGAGAAAAATACTGCTTTCATGTTAATTCAGCTTAGTGGATGAAAACATACTGTAAAGGCCTGTGTCATATTTGGAGTCCAGATCCTTCAGAGATCATTTTAACTTTTAAATAGACTTCAACAGCTGATCTGAAGCCAAAATAGATCTACATATGAATCAATACCACCTAAATACCTCCATCCTACAGGGAGGGATGTTATATTGAAAACACAATGATGCCCCCATGCTGACGAAACGTTTTATTTTTCCAGAGGCTGGTGGCAGCTCAGAACAGACGCATTGACGCACTGGTGGAGAAAATCAAGCAGCAACAAGACAAACTGGAGAAGCAGAGTCTACACCTGCAAACACTGCAGAGCAAGGTGAGCTACACCACAATCAAATACACAACACGCCTCGTATGATTTAGCCGAGGATACCTAACTAAAATATTACATTTATCTTAACAATAATGTAAGTGATACGTTACAGTTTTCTGACATTGCTCTGTGATCCACCAGGTCGGAAACAAGAGAGTAAAGTCACACCGACGGAGAGATGGAGAGACGGCACTGAGGGGAGAGCCAGTAGAGCAGAGCATAGACGCATCAGGTAAGAAAACACAGTTAAAAAAAAAAAAAAAAAAAAACTAAATGATGTCGAAAAACCTTTAGACCAATAGCTGATGTGAGAGGTTATACACTTTGAGGGGAAACTTGAGCCACCTTAGAAAAACTAACTTTCTCCGGGCATTCCTCCTTAAGTACTAAAGGTATACAAACACGTATTTTGAGGTGAAACACAAATGCCTTAAAAGTACACGTCTACAGATCACATAAAATAGTTCTAAAATCTGAGCAAACGTCATCCAGTTTAAAACAATTTGCAGCAAGAGAGGGAATTTACAGGATTAACAGCACCAAGTGGACCAATATAGGAGCTATTAAAACATCCCCAAGTGATGTAAGGAGAAAAAAAGTTCACCTTTGCACCTGAATTTATACTACACGACTCGCTGGCAGAGCAGCTCACATGCCGTCCAAAGATCAGGAGAAAATGAGAACGACAACTTTTCAAAAACACACCTATTGTACTGAGTGTTGTCATGACAAGGAGCAAGCATGTAATCAGTATCTGCATATGCACTGGAGTGAATTTCCGAAATCAAACCTGAACTCGACTGATCAGAGTTTTCTGTGTTCTGATTTTTCCCAGGTTGGGCCAGAGACTGTCAAGATCTGTTTGCACGAGGGCAGCGAGCCAGCGGCGTCTACACAATCCAGCCAGAGAACTCTGAGCCCTTCAACGTCCTCTGTGAAATGACTTCAGGTGAGTCTCAAGGCCGTCTGGTTTGAATTTGCGCAACAACACTGTTCCACGACTGAAAGCTGAAAGAGGCAACTTTTTGTCCAAAACTACAACAGTTTAAATCAGCAGTTAAAAACACTAACAAGAGGGACCTACGCAGAGAAGTTAAAAGGGTCGCACATTTCAGCATTGACAGACCCTTAGAGATTTAAACCACTCTCACATTTTGGCCAACAAAGAGTAGAGTATTCCAGCACAGTGTCAATACAATAAAACATTCATTCTGTGTTATAAGCCTCGTTAGCTCAATCTTTCTCTTCCTCTCTCTGCAGAAGGTGGATGGACAGTCATCCAGAAACGTTACGATGGATCCCAGAACTTCAACCAGCTTTGGGAAAGCTACAAGAAAGGCTTAGGCAACCTGAATGGTGAGCACAAGCTCAGCAAAAAAAAAAGTTCTTTAAATATCTGCGTCACTAAACCTCAGTGGCAAAAATTAATCTTAACATTCATCCCTTCAGGTGAGTTTTGGCTGGGCTTGGAGAGCATCCACACCATCTCCAAACAAGGCCAGTACGTCCTACAGGTGGAGGTCTCTGACTGGGCGGAACAGCAGCAGCAGGAGGCTCGTTACCGACTCCAACTTGACGGAGAAGAAAAGGAGTTCGCTCTCCACCTGGAGCAGGAGTCTTCATCCAGTAACCAGGTGGCAATAATGACAACTGGAGAATCTGGTCTTCCTTTTTCAACAGCCGACAGAGACAACGACCTTGCTGCAGATGTCAACTGTGCTGACCTGCTCTCAGGTACGACGGCTTCACTGACCCTACAACCTGAATACACATTAACTGTCTAAGTGGCTTAATCACTGGATAAATGAAGTTATTCATAAAACTGCTCTTTCTCTTGCAGGTGGTTGGTGGTTCAGTAGCTGTGGTGAGTCAAACCTCAACGGCAAATATCCCAGAAAGCCGAACATGCTCAGACAACAGCATCACAGAAGACAAAGGATGTTTTGGACATCCACAGAGGGGCAAAACAGCTCAGTGAAGACCACTCTTCTGAAGATCGCCCCTGCCACAATAAAGCAATAAGCAGATCAGTCTGTCTCAGACAGCACAGGACTGAAGAAAACATGACTGTATTTAACTTTAATGAATGATCTCTGCTGTCACGCACTGGATCATCAGATATTTCTATGCTGTGCCATACGATCAGCTCATTGTCTCAGTGGATATATTCAGTCATATTGACAGTAACTTTATTCCCTTTGTAAGGGCTCCTTAAGCTTATTTTGTTCTACTTACTGTATATGTTTTAAACACCTCTTTGATAATGCACAGTGAATTGTTTTTAACATTTATACACTTTAAATATTTTATATTTCATTTATATGAAGTGAATGAAAATAAAGTTTTTTAAATGTTTAATAAATCCTGAGTCTTTGGTCATGGTTGAAGGCGACTGAACGCAAACACAGCAACCACCCAGCAGCATGTGCTTCCTCTGATGAATGACAAACCATAACGAGAAACACTTTAAGTTCTTAAAATGATCATTGCAAGTACAGCAGCTTGCATAAGTAATGCATTTCATAATGAGTCTCTATACAGTTCCAAATAAAATACAAACTTTGAATCAATATATGATTATATATAACATATATGTGAGATATAAGGCAATCCTATGAACCACTGACACTCAATTTAGGGCCCGCGGGTCAGACAGAGTGCTGGGTGGCCCCATGACCTTTTAATTCACAGTGAAAATACATTGATATACAGTGGGACTTTGAATGCATATAAGGTGACAGAGTGCATAAAAAAAGCATCAAAATGAAGCTTGTTTATTAAAAGACAGCACCATGGATTATTAATGTTTATTTATTGACTGGTCCCTAGCCTCCTGTCATTTTGCAGACGTGACCCCCGGGCAAAGCAAGCTGAGAGGAGAGCTGAGCTTTATATGCTTGTTTGAATCAATATTTTCCTTTACTTGTAATATCTCTTACTGGGGAATTCTACATATCTGTTGTGAAGTGAATAAACACAAATGTAATTTAGGTGTTTCTTGCATCATAGTTAAAGGGTGCATGTTGTTGAAGCTGTGTTGTTACCTCTCATTGATTATGGTGATGTAATTTACAGACATGCTGCAGCTTCAGTTCTAAAGCCTTTGGACAGTGTATATCACTCTGCTCTTAGATTTATTACTGGTGACAGGTACAGAACACATCATTGTGTTCTGTATGAGAAGGTTGGTTGGCCTTCTCTGGAAGAGAGGCGCAACAAACATTGGCTTTTATATATCTTCAAGGCCCTCGTTGGAAAATTACCACCTTACATCTCAACCTTGTTAGTGTGGAATGCTGGTAGCTATACAACCCGCTCTACCGATCTGCTACTTCTTAAAGTTCCTCGAGCATGTACTGAACTTGGTAAAACAGCTTTTTCTTTTGATGCTCCAAGCTCATGGAACATCCTCCAACACTCTCTAAAAATTCATGTTCTTCCTTCTCTTTCAGAGTTCAGGACTTTGATTTCTAACCATTGTGTTTCACATTGCAACTGTTTTACCTGATTCTATTCTATCTACCTGGTCACTGATGAGATTGTTGTTCACAGTGATTATTCTGTACTGTTTTTATTGTGCTGTGGTTCAAATGTGTCTGTAATCTCAACGACATTGGAAATGAGGGAAACCTCAATGTCCTTCGAGACTAAATAAAGGTTTGAAATGAAATGAAATGAAATGAAAATGTTTTATATATGTTTCTACAGGGAACTTTATAATCTACCTGATCTTGATTTAATGGCTCTCAGGAGCATCCAATGCATTATTTGGAACCTAGTCTAATTTTTATTAAACATCTCGTGATTTTCAAAGGGTTGAGCAGGATTTGTTTGATGCTGCTGCTCCCTGCTGTGGAAATGCTAAAAATGCAGATGTGTCAGGGTTAGATACACGAAAAGTCTCTCTCGTGCTCTAAAGTAAAATGTTTTCAGCTGATTTTCTGATCAGTTTTGAACTTTGTCATAAATGTAAAATAATTCTGTTGCATCTATGTTTTACCTCTGTACATATGGAGCACACAGTTGGAGCAGAAACAGAGTAGATCCATGAGCAAGAAGAGGATATTTGAGTGCGAGGGCAGGGTTTTTGAACGTAAAATCAATAAATAATGCTCTCAAACTGATAGACCACTCTCTTGAATAAAGATAGGGATAAAGCTCCATATGTACATTGTGTGATATATGTGAATAGGATAAAACTCTTTATTTATTCTAGCTGCTTCTTTTCAGCATAACTCCAGACACCAAAATAACCGTTGCATTGAGGTTATTCATATGTCTGTTGAGTGTTCGTTGTGTTGTTTTTCTCTGTTTGACTGGGGAGCCCAAGGATGAAGTCTCACGTAGTGCAGATTTTGAAGCTTCTTGGGGTAAATGTATGATTTTCGGTTGGTGACTTTTGGTATGTCTGTGTTGAGAAGGTGTCCTCATAAGCCCCCTGAATCATCTCTCTCACTCCTCTACAAAATATTTGCATTTAGTTTCTGTATCTGGCATCTTTAATGAGGGTCATGAAGTTGGTTCATGTTGTATTTTTATCACTTTTTGTTTCATTTCCTCTCCCCAGAAGCTCAACACATATCAAAAGGCCCAAACTGTTTATATACAAATTATCTAAACTTGTAGAGGAATTATTTTCTGTGTTATTTTACAGGGGGAAAAATACATATGAAATACCTTTAAAAATAATACATTTCATTTGGTGACAAGACTTTGGAAAAGATTGTTCACTTCTGTTTATTTCTTCAATATCTGAGAGTACATTTAACCATGAAACAGGTCACGGTAGTTCATACAGATGGTCATCAAACGCACACGAAACAAGGCATTTTATTGTCTTAGGTCCTCAGACAGATTCCCTGATATATACTATACGAGCGGGGGCTCTTTAACTCTTGCAAGGCACCTCAGACTGCCAACAGTTGTGTCATACATCATCTTATAAGTCAGTTTGTTGGCACCAAGGCAAATATACGTAATATGTGCAAAAGTCCTCAGCAGCAGAAGAAGAAAGAGAAGCTCTCCGTGAAATTAAAGCAAGCGAGTGAGTGAAACAGCAACAAGTCGCTACATATTTCCACCTTCTATGAATGCATAAGTATTCATAAAAATATTTTTTAACAATACACAATAAAAATGTGGCATGTAACTTTTTTTTTCCTTGTAAATCTGCCAAAGTGTGGCACAGTACATAAAAGGTTATCTATGAGAGCACACGAGGGCACAGAATACACCACAAAGGGGGTTAAGAGCTCGCTTGTGTGCTCTTATAGAGTTTCATGTTTACTATCTTCACTCCAGTGTTTATTTGCAGACACAGGAAAACAACAACTTTATGAGTTGGGTCCCAAAAAAACAAAGTGACAGCTCAATAAAAAAGGAATAGGCACAAAAAAAGAGAGAAAGCTGCACACGTCTGCACGCGGCAGGTCAACTTCTATACTTTTTGCATTGCTGAAAAATTCTGTTTATGGTGAAACAATCAACATTTTCATCATCAACATCATCACTGTGATTTTTTTTCGTTCCACCACCTGTCGACATTAAAAAGCCTCAGCCCTGTTTGTTCTGGGCGAATGGCGCCCTCTGCTTGTTTTGGGGCTTAAAGCAATTTAGCAGATCCCACTCCACTGTCAAATACAGTGTGAAGACTTTTTTCTCTCAGTGATGGTCTCATTCAGGGTGACTCCACTAAAATCTGAATATCAATATTGTAATCTTTAATTGATGCTAAAATGCTTCAGCACCTTTAAGACTGATGAAACAACTCTTGAGGTGTGATGTGGTTTGGCATAGCTTGCATTCAGAGCATCATAAAATCGAGTGGGAGGAGGTGCAGGTTTAAATAAATGGAGGAAAGGGAGAAGAGGAGACAAGAAGAGGAGGTTAGGAAGTGAGAAAGGGAAGGTCAGTGTGTAGAAAGGCTTATCAGAGGTTCTGCTGGAGGAAGTGCAGCAGCGTGATCTCGTAATGCTCTCCAGACTCCGGACATCGGATGCTGTGTCGCTCGTTGGGATACACCTGGAATAACAAAACGGACATGTTTGACCATCTCGGGATCAGCTGGATTCTTACATCAAACATTTTTAAGCTTTTCCAGCACCTTGCAACAGCTACACATGCGTATATACAAAGTATACTGATTATTTCATCGCTATAAACAACCAAAGTTTTGTGACAGAGTTCTACAGCAAGGTGACACATTAAAGGAAAACACCACATAGTTTCATGTTTCAAAATGACTTCAATTTCAATAAATATGTAAAATAAGAGAACATTAATCTCTGAGGTGTGCAGTCAATTAGCCCCAATAATGTAGGTACAAAATATTGTCCAAATCAAAACAAAGCAATGATGCTTTTCAACATCTGTGTTAAATTACATATTTATATACAGTGCATATATGTGAGTATTTCACTTCTTCTTCACGTTAATCCATTAGTCTTTATTACGATTATTATATATTGAATCTAACAAAATGATACATGATGTTAGTAGTCAGGTTCCAGGTTTGTAGATATACTTTTTTGGATTAGTGAGAAATAATCAAGTATCACTTCTGAATTTTTCCAAAGCCTGTCTTGGATTGAAATACTAGAAAAACTGCAGAAGCTTTTGCACCTTCCTTCCTCCTTAATTTAATGTATTAAAAATAAAGAGACCAACTGAAGAACAAGAGCCAACATGACTGTTTATCTTTTACACTCATCCTATTTTAATGTGCTTTGTTGTGTTGTATGATGACCCGTCGGTCTCATGATAAAGTTGTTCTTTATTCTTTATACAAGTGTTGTGTTGTTTTGACCCCCTCAGACTTTATGAAAAAAAACACATCCAGATTCAGTTTCCCACCTTCATCACTGACGCTACATCCACACTAATAATTTTCATTTTAAAACACTTTCATTATCGCTACATTTACGGCTAGCATCCACACTATTCTGCTGTTTCGGGACCCCGTCGGGGGAGACATCTGAAAACGCTGCTTACCTCGTTTTCCTCTGAAAACTCCAGGGTTGCCTTTTGGAGACTTTTGTAAAATCAAGGAGCACACACCACATTTGCTTTCTGATTGGGTCTTATCAATCATGGCGTCATGGCCAGAGCATTATAGCTATCACTAAATACTTTTTGTGATTTCATCATCCATGTGCGAGTACTAATTTACTTTAACCATGACTTCCTTCGGAGATGGATAGTGCTTCCGACCAGGACCACTCTAATTAGCTGTATTTGCTTTGCAATGACTCCCAATCTGTTATCCACCTCCGTGACAGGCTCATTCTCATATTATTCTCAGTAACAGTTTCACCTCATTGTCGGTCTAAGCAAAGAAATCTGATCTTTTTGCCATCTCCTTATTATTTTCTGTAACTAAGCAACCAACCGCAGGGTAGATAATCTGCTTCCTGTTTACACTGCCATGTGCATGTCCAGTGTATGTGAACAGTAATGTCATATGCATATTTAGGTGTGTCAGTATGGAGTCAGAAATTATTTTGTGTATGGTGATCAAGAACGCATTTGTGTGGAAGTGGCTTCATTAAAGTCAGTATGAATGATTAAATCCACCTACCTGCAGGCTGTAAGGCTTGCCTGCCCGGATGAGTTGAGACACCAAGAAGTTGGTGTGGAAAAAGTGCACATTCTCATCTAGAAACCCGTGAAGGATCAGCAACCTGTTGGGCCTGGATTTAACAGAGAGATGAAGTTCTTAGTTTCTCTTGTCATGTTCTCTTGAGTTAACGTAACTGATATGACAGCTTACAGGAAATCAAATTGTACATCTTGACCTCATTAACTGCAGAAATCAGCCTTGCTGTGAGGTGGATGACACAAGCTACAGTATAATATTGCCTTGTACAGTGGGCGTCTATCACAGTTGATTTGTGGACATAGTAACTAATTAGCAATAAATTCAGAGCATTAGTACAAAGTCTGTATATTTAATGACAGTTCTCACTCAGTGGGGAGTTTGTCGACATGCAGTGCGACTGAACAAGCCTCGTATCCCTTCTGGTTTTTTTCAGGCGTGTCCAAATATCGCTCTGTGTAGCCGGTGTCGTAGGCCATCCATAACGTGACCGGAGCTCCTGCAATGGCAACCTGAAAAAGACATAAATGGGAAGTCAGACAGAAGCGTTTTTTTAAATTCCTTCCGCTATAAAGTGTATTTGGAAATGCAGCTAAAAGTGCAGATTGAGTTATTCATCTATCAATCTCTCTACTGCTGAAGGATCCGTAAAGAAACGTTAGTGGTTTTGACCTTGAAGACGTCAGGTTTGTGGATGAGGCCCATGAGGGAGAGGAAGCCTCCATACGACCAGCCGTGGATAGCAACACGACTCAAGTCTACAAACTTGTACTTCTCAGCTACGTAGTGCAAACCCTCCACCTGGTCTTCAATCTCCACCTGGCCCTGGTTGGAGGAGAACAGAAAAGTAACTCACCTGGCATTGACACCCTTTCACTGCCCATCTACATCCAATGTGAACACACGCACAAATTTAACTATCCAAGTTAAAAAAAGTGCTACAACACAAACTCAGGGGGAAAAGGGACTATATCTTCTCATTACAAACAGTCGTATGTGAATTGATGTCACATATTCTGCTATATAGTGATGAGGTCATAAAACACCATATGTTATTATCAGTAAATTATCTAATTACTTCTGTAAAGACATAAAACATTTAAACACAACACTGTTCATTCCTCTACACAAGTCTGTCCTGAAGCAGATGATTCATGTGACAACTACCATTTTGTCCTTCACAGCTCCTTCAAACTTGAGACCCCGCTGACAGGACCCTCGTCCATCAATGACCAGCACGACATAGCCCAGAGACGCCAGCGTGCTCAGCCGCAGGTACTTCACTCCTTTATAAGAGTTATTCACTAACTGGACCTGGAGAAAAAAAACACAATCATAGCAATGTCACTTGGTCAGAAAACATTCCCTGTTGCACTTAAATTATATGCTCGGCTAAAGTGTCCGAAAGCAGGACTCTTACTGCTCGCTCACAAGTTTCTCTTGCTGATCTGCCTGTTTGAAAAAATCAGCAACATGCCTTCAAAGGCAGCTTCGTATTTTTCATCCTGAACACTATTTTCCCATGTTTATGTGTCTAAGAAACTAATGGGAACAGCATTTTTTAACATTGGTCCAGTATTGAGTGAGAGCCAAACAGGCTGCAGTGTAGTTTGTGAACCCTTAATGTACATCCACTAAATGTTCTTGTTTTTGCCGCTGACAGGCTCATATTAATATTCATGTTGTCTGACAATATTATGGAGAGGATCACTGCAGAAGCATATTTTTTCAGATGCTTCTTGTTTAACTAGAAACTGACCAGAAATTGCTGCACCCAAACCCACCAGACTCCATTTTTTCATCATTGTAAAACACACTTCATCTGGACTGAAAACAAAATAAAAGACGTCTTGGTTTGTCTTTTTACCATTCCAGCAATCACCAACTCTGGTTTAGTTACAATATAACTATAACAAGTCAGATGTGAAAATATGCTGGCTACACACGAAAATCACTGTTTAAATGGAGTCTGGTGGGTTTGGCGATGGTGGTTACAGGGCTGTTCCTGGTTAAACAAAAAAGGCTTTACCATGTAACAAAAAGGTCTGTCTCTGTAGGAATCCTTTCTATAATGTTGCCAGACACTTGAAATAACAATCTAAACCTGTCAGCGGCAAAATAAAGAGCTGCTAAGCCGAGAGGTGGTTCATTAAGTTTCAGTTTAACTATTGTGCTGTCATAGCATGGTGCACTCGTGATAAACACAGATCAAAAACTGAAGGAAACCTTCTTAATATCAAATCCTGCTGGGATGCATTCAGTTAACCACATTTAAAAATAATCACAAAAAGAGAATGTTGATCATTGTTTATTGCTCCTAAGGCTTACATGCCGTGAATCAAATGAGACAGCGGAAAAGATCAAACCTGCGGACCGCCGTAGACAAAAACAACGGTGGGATGCTTCCTGCCAGGAACCAGGTTGTCTGGTTTGTACAGCATGCCGTACAGCTCGAAGCCCGACTTCCCTGTGAAGCTAAAGATCTCTGGAGGACTGGTTTCGTACGGGAAAACTGGGAAAAAAGCAGACACAAAAGAAATAAGATATAAATATATATTGATGTAATATAATGTCGTGGGAATTTACTTTTAAACACAATGTACACACGTCTCAGACAGTTTAAATCACTACTTATGAGTGTCATCTTAAACAAGTGGTAGAGAAAAACAAACTGAAAAAGGAAACTTTCACAGCTGCCAGAAAACATTTCATTTCATCTCAACAAAGCGTTTGTTTTCAGTACCACTGGACTCCATCATGCTCGCCCAGAACTCAGGCTCTTTGTGTAGTGGGTCGTCTTCAGAGCCCTGCAGCTTGTAGACGTGCACACAAGGTGATGTGGTCAAGCTGCTGTAATGACTGACAAACAAGTCAAAGGTCTGCGAGGGAGAAAACAAACAGATATACAAAAGAGGGTTAAAAACAGCATCTACACTAATTTATGTTTCTTCAGAAATCCACAGAGGAAAACAATTTTTTAAAAAATCCACCATGCAGGACAACAAGGGTGAGGGTGCTTATTTATGATATTTTGTGCAAGTGAAAGTGAAACAGCATGGACACACTTATAGCACACTTGTGAAATAAACAAATACAAGAACAGTTTTATATCACTTTTAGACAGACGCCTCAATTATATCAGAGGTGAATGACACTGACTGATTACAATAAAACACAAGTGTTGTCCTGATAATCTGTTAGATCCTAATTGTTAATCACAAATTTAAGATGTATGACTGGCAAATGTAGCACTAAACAAGTTGGGACCAAGCAAAAAATGTACCACTACCACAGAAATGTCTGCGTCAGTTGCCTTATACTCAGAAGAAAAGATTAACAAGGACACTATGTCATCTGACGTGTTAAAGAAACATAATAAAAAATTAAATATTAAATGACACAAATAGTTTCTGAGCAGCTTGTTTTGGGAACATGGAGAGAAAAGTTGAGTAAAACTTCCCATTCACAAACTTAAAAAAGTGAAAACTGCACTGAAAACTACTTGATTATTATGAGTTGGAGTTGGAGTTGGAGTGTGTGTGTGTGTGTGTGTGTGTGTGTTGAGATACCTGGCTCACTGAGCAGCTGTGGGAAAAACCAGGTTTGGTGAGTCGGACAATTTCCCCCGGGGAGTCGTAGCTCACAACATAAAGGTGATGCTCAAGAGGAGAGTCTTTGGTTCCCTGGAAGTAAACCAGCTTTGCTTTCTCGTCCACCCAAATCTGAGGACTGGACGAACGCTGCACAAACAACACAGGACAAGAGACACTGTTTGTACGTGTTTTCTTAAAGACACACACAAGACAAAAAAAATCACCTTGTTTCAATGTTGGTTTCATCATTAATTTGCTTCGGTTACTGCACATAACTGTCGTGCTTTTCATTTCAAGAGTTTATTTTACACTGGTATTTCTTGTGTCATATTCTTTACACTGACAGTTATGAGTTTGTGTATAATGGGGGCTGAAGTCTACAAAAACATGCAGTTATATGTACACTGGCTCAGTTCAATTATCACACTTAAAAATTATTAAGACATCATAACAATCTTATTTATTTAAAGTCTTGTTGCAGGAACTCTGACGTCCATTGACTCTGCTCACTGTACATCATGCAGCGCATCTCAAATGTTATTTACAACTCAGTGTACTGACGAGTTGGTGGTGTTGGTTCATTAGTGCTGCTCTAGATACAGTTAAATGTCAGCAACCATGAACAGATATGTGGGCAGGGCTTTACCTTCGCTCCGTGATTGGCCAGCACCTCCCACTCCCCGCTGGTTATTGTCACCTCCTCTTTAACTGGACATTTGAAATCATCTGGTGAGGGAGGAGAGAAAAGAAGTGTTACACTGATTAATCAACTGACTTGTTTGACAACACAGGGGACATTAAATGACTTAACATAAATCATTTCAGAATATGTTTGAACATGGTGCCTCATGAGAACACAGTAATATTTAACTGAGACAATGATTTAAAGATTTGTTTGCAGACAAACAATAAACAGTCAGTAAAATAAAAACTACACCACACCAAAACGAAACTTAAACTGGTTTTGTTTTTAGGATGCATTGTTGTCAAGGTCTATGGTAAACTATTCCTCCGTTTTTTTTACTATATCTAAAATTATCCACAGATACATACAAATTGTGTTTATTACACAGCTGAAATTATTTCCTGTAATATGCTGCCCGCAGAATGCTTCATTTCCTTCCCAAATTATGTATTGTATCTTTTTAAAAGTTTTATGTGTGTAAATAAAGAAAGAAAGAAACAAACTGTGACTTTTTGTGCTTGTTGATGGTGTTACCTTCAGAGTGTGTGTAGCCTTTGGCCCAGTTGTAGCTGCCCCGCTGTAACACTGAGGTGATCTTATACAAGTGGCAGAAACCTGTTTTTGATTCATTTACTGTGATAAAGGTGATCTCATCATCACTGGTTTGGATGAATGGATGGAAGATGTCATGGACCTGAAAGACAATCAGACAGTCATGATGAAAGCTGCACTATTTCAGCGAGATGTCAAACATTAACCTATCTTATCAGCATAAATCATTAAGTGGGGCTAAAACAATCCATAACAAATAACTGAATACATGCTGCTCACAGTGACAGAAAGAACCACAGCATGAATTACGAAACCTTTCATTTTCAATACCATCAGAGCCTTATAAGGGCAAATAAAATGCCACGACAAGCTAGTAAATCTAGCAACTCACTTGCCCGACTGCGCAAGTTGTTAAAATAGAAATAAACACATTGGTTTTTTTTTTACAAAGCTGATGATGAAAGTCGCTGGAAGTGAGCTGTCTTGCTTCCTTTTCATCTCAGTTGAGAGCTGAACATGCACAACCCTGACCAGGCACTCACAGGAAAATAACATTTTCTAAAATCTTAAATCAGATACTTCTATTAGAATGCTTGCATGTAGTGTATTTTGACAGAGTAGTGTTGTCTCAAATCAAACACAGCTGTTGCACACATACTGGACATGACGGTCACAACATTTGTCTGCTTGGCGAGCTACAACTGGGTGGAGCACCATTGCCAACATTTGACAATGATTGTCACTTGCCAAAATATATTCTTGCTATGGCTGCTTGTTTTCTCACGTTTTCTTCTGTATTTATTTATTTAGTTATTGTATTAAAATTAACGTGCTTTTGCAACATGTTATGGATGTCTGTGGCTGATACTGGCTGGCTCTATCACCAGCTGATCTACCAAATTAATGATAGCTGCTGCATTTTGCAAATATTTACAACTAAAGCATCTGACCACAAATCTGATACTAAAATCCTCTGCAGGGAAGACGACAATTTAATATGCATAAACACCAATGTAACCCATGATCGCAGATGGTATAGCTTACACCTCAACACATTTAACTTCAATGCCTGATGATAAATGTGCCGTTGGCGTTTGTATCATCACTTGTGGTACCAAATTACTCCAGAATTAATCTACTAAAGCGGTAGTCAGCTAAACTGAAGGGCAAGCAGTTATTCATATTATCCTGTAAACATGAGTTTAGTTGGGTGGCATTAGAGGATGTGGGCGAAACTCCAATGTATTGTGAAGTTTGCCGCAAGTTTGAGAGCAAGGCTTCTATAACAGGGTCGTTTTCATGATAGGTAACTCAAGTCTTTGCTGTCATTTGATAACTGCAAATAAAACAATTTGTATAGAGGGAAGGAAAAACTGACTTCAGGCAAGTAGATTTCTGAACCACTGGATGGAACAGGCAAGAGAAAAATGTCTTAGAAAGATGTGGTGTCGGGCCTCACATTGATCCAGATGTCGCTAGTCTCCTGGTAGATGACGAAGGGCTGGACGGCGTCTCCGAGGGCCTCCAGGCTCTCCTGCCTGCTGGCCTCGTCCTGATGCGCGGGGATGAAGAGCGCTGGAGGCAGCAGGACCAGCTGGAGATACTGCTGTCGTCGGTCCATCATAACCACCCACGCACTGACACACAGAGAGACGAAGAGCTGTGACAGGTGTGAGCATGCGCAGTATACCGACTCCATGCTACTGAGTTGTAGAGCTCAGGTTTAAAGGTACAATGCGGAAGATATGGCCAGAAGTTTAGTTAAAGACATTCAAAAAATAAACTCACATTATCAACAGAATGTGAAGTAACAGTTCTGACATTATGTCAAAGACATCTATCAACTGTGGTGCAGAGTTTTCTACTGATTTAGCATGCTAACCCTAACTAACCAGTCCCGCCTTGTAATGCCACTATCACCTCAAGAGGTGATAGTGACTCACTGTAGCGTCCAGTCTACTCTCAGTTCAACATGGAAGGTTGAAGAAAAGCTGCACAAAGCTGAACAATCCACACTGAAAAAAATTCCAAATGGCGTCAATATATGTGGTTTTGATGTGGCTATTTTTTGCTACTGGTCTTGTTAAACTAAGCAAAGCAAGCTATAACATAAACTAAAAGGTCAACGCCACAGGTGAAGATTATAAGGTAGCTGTGTTATTTTGACCATCCCTCAGAATTTTAGCAGTTTGGTTTAACTTTGCATATTCTTGCCTTGGTGCTAGTTAATAGTAGTTGTTTTTTTTTTTTAAATAACTGACGACTGTAAATTTAGGTTGTATAAACCCAGGAGTAGATAGACTGAAAAAATATAGAATGGTTCATCACAAAAATTTTTTGGAGCATGTGGTCAGGCGTTACACACTGCACCTTTAAAAGCTATGGGTGGTGTTTTTTCTACATCTTAAAGAACTTACTATCTGCCGTCTTTTGTCCATCCAGCACGGGTGATATACTCAGCATTAGGGAACAGGCTGGTGAAGGGAGCAGGCAGCACTTTCTCCTGTGTGCTGACAATCTGAGGGAGAAACAACAAGAAGCTGGCATCTGGGCATCTCTCTGAAGAGTAAACTAACACGGCACTGCACAAGCACTCACTTTGCCAAGATTGTCCGTCCTGATTTCTGCTATTTTGAGAGTAATGTCGGGATTCTTGCTGCCTGGAGAGAAAACAAAACTGAGTTATGTACCAACATATAAACACACATGAAACCTCTGTCATCAAGTGGAGTTTTGAATCTGCATTAGCTCATTGGAGCAGTTTTCGTATCTTATCATTCTTAACGTGCCACAACAGCACCAACAATGACACCTCTGCCAGTGAGTAAACATGGATGTTAACCATGCAGCTTTCAAACTTGGCTTTGCAAATGTTTTATGAGGAAGGAAATGCATTCAGCTCATGTTTGTCAGACCTCAAGAATATACACAATGTATTTTTTGGAGTAACACCTAATGTAAACATAACTTTTATTTGATTGAAACTCCACGGGCCACCTTTAAATGAACTCGCCTGCTGCAGATTTATTTTTATCATATTTTTCTTACCAGAAGCAACAAGTGCGTCACATATTTCACAGTGCAAATCAAAAGTGTGTGTGTGTGTGTGTGTGTGTGTGTGCGTGTGCGCGTGCGCGTCTGTACCTGCACGTGGGTATCTGTAGACATCCGTCTGCCGCTCCTCCAAAGCCGGAGATGGAACATGAATGATCTCAACCTCAGACTCGTCCACCTCCTCGTACAGAATCTGCAGAGTCTTACCACCATCTGATTCTGAAGCAGAGGGAGACCAGTAAAACCAGTCAAAGACAGTTTTGCTTACAGGACAAACCTGACCCATGTTTTTAAGCATTTTGTCTCATATAAGTAAATTCTTGTAATTATGCATCTAATAATAATCAATCTTAATTTTAAAACTGCCTACATTATGATTATTATGATTGCCTCCTGCTGTTGTCTCTATTTCTCACCTTCACGAGCAGCTGGCGACCACCAGTATCCTGTGAAGCGGTCAAACTCTTCCTGCGTGACAAAAGTGGCTATGCCGGCAGATTTGGGGTCCTCTTTTGGGTTGTCAATACCTAAGATGAAAAAAGAAAAAAACACACAACCACTGTGAGAAAAACTTCAGAGTACCAGGAAAGACTCTCTACGAACATCTGACCATCTCAGTCCTGACCTTTATGGCAGAAGGTGAGCCTCCTCTCTTCACCCGTCTCAATGCTCGTCACCCATATGTCATTGTTGTGGATGAAGCCGATAAAGTTGGAGTCCCCGGGGCAGATCTTGGGGTCCATGCGTGTGCCTGCACTCTGGCTCTTTATCTCGACAGGCTTCATGGGAGACGTCTGCACAAACACACAGAGAGGTTAACGCCTGACGTAGTTCCACACTTAATGATTAATAAAAAAGTGAAAACCTTAAAAACATCAACTGATTTTCTGCTCTAAAGTCTGACCAGAGCTTCTGTCTGCTTCTGAGAACCACTGTGCACATTTACGCACAAGGAGCAGTGTTACTTAATTGATTCTTTCAGTAGCTAAAAGGTTAGCTCTGTTTCCTCTGTCAAGTAGCACTTGCCCTACAGATTGTTTAAATAAGGCCCCATAAGTGAGAACAGCTGAGGCATTGACCAACTGTTCAGAAGCCTTATTAACCCCTGCAGGCCTGTGACAGTCATTCTGTGCTGTGTGGCAATGACAGTCTTACTGAACTGTCCTTCAACTCACAATGAAGGTGTTGTTTCCACCGTCACGGCAGTAGTACAGACTGCTGTTGGCCTGGAACAGGAAGAGGCCACTGGGTCGGTGATAATCATAGGAGGTGATGCCAGACACCCCCAAACGTTTCCTCTCCCGCAGCAGCTCCTCCTCCCGTGAGAAGCCCCCGTGGAGAGGGCTGGCCTGAGGTCAGGGGTGACAGGAGGACACACAATGTGACAATGCTGGCCGAGCGAGGTTAAAGTCAAAGGGAGTTTGTTCAGGGCATGAAAAACAAACGGTAAGAAAACACTACCACGCTACAATAAAGAGGGAATCATTATGAATGTATTAATAAACAGAACATGATGTGGACTAGGTTATTTTGTCTTTGGGAGGGGAAATGTATAACAATGGTTTTAAACTCCTTGAAGAAAGAAGCCATTATGAAAGGAGTGGTTCATGATCATCCTCTGAACAAGAATACTAAAAATCACATTAAAATGTCAGAGTTGACTAAAAATCCTTCTCACCTGAAAGCGATCCAGCATTTGTTTCCAATTCAAAACCAACAGAGCATCTTTGCGGACCTTCTTGGGAATGTCTGAGTAGAGTAAAGCATTTTCCCTGCTGGCGTAAGGCATTCCTGTGAGAGCAGAGATGCTTGTTATAGTCAATACCCAAGCTACCATGGGTACAGGTTTTACAGGCTCTATGTGGTACACATCACGACACTTGACACAGCTCTGGAGATGATATCACACATTACAACTAACTGCTTGAGACATGGCAGCAAAGAGTGGCAACCATTTTGCAGACACCCCGCGCACTACAGCTGCAACAGTAAGAAGCAGAAAGATGGCCATGAAGCAAAATGGTGTTACTTGTTGAGTTTCAGGTTTTCTCCAGCACACACCGACTTGATCTACTGCAGCTCTGTGGATATCAAATGAGTCTGAAAACAGTTGCAAGCTGGCAGCTCTGACTCACCAGCTGTATCCACAGATTATTCACAGAAGCATGCTGTTTTTCTAACAGACTGCGACGAAGCAACTGAATCCACAGGCCAACAAGTCAGCGCCCACTAAAAGCACCCAATCTCAGCTGTGACATTTTTTGACATTTATTGTAGAAATTTACATTATTTGGCACTTAGCATGTATTAATTTCAGACTCTGCCTGAAAATGAAAAGATATTTCAACAACTGTAACAGCTCCCAGCTTTCAGGCCCCCGTGCTCACCAAGGTAGTAGATGCGGTGGGAGTGCGGACTGGTTTCATCTTTCTGGATGAACTGGAAGTCGTGTGGAGCCTTGTTGATGACCACGCCTGTGTACTTGCGGCCATTGTGGATGATCTTCCGCAGGCCATCCCATGTGTGCTTCTCCACCTGGAACTGGGTGGGATTCACATCCTCCATCTCAACCACTTCTGTGCTGTCTGAGAGCTCGTCTACCCCCGTCATACCTGCCAGTGCTTGTTTGACGCTGTGGAGAGACACTCAGACCGGTCAGATACATCTACAGTAAATCACAATGGGAAGGTAACTAGCAAACTGGCAAATGTGGATCTATTTTTGATTACCTGCAGTCTGACAGAAACCAAACTATGTGTTAGTCCTGTAGTCATATAATAATGCAGTACTCCAAAGTACCCCTGAGGATGCGTACCCCCATTTGAGAAACACTGATCTAAGTCCTGGATAAAGCCAAGGTGGCAGCGTCGCTCTATGGATAGCAATGGTGATTGTTGATACGTCCCTCACTTTGGTCCAGAATGAAATATCTCAAAAACTACTGGATGGATCATCATGAATTTTGGTACTGAAATTCATGTCCCTCTCAGAGGGAATCCTAATGATTTTTGCGATCCCTAAACTTTTCATTTATTGCTACTAGCAGGTCAAAACTTGCAAAAATTGCAATACTTTGGTTTATGATCAGATTTGTGCACAACTAATGATATTCCCATCAACCTCAGCTGTGCTTTGCGCTAATTAGCAATTGTCACCATGCAAACATGCTAAAGTAGGATGGTAAAGATGGTAATAATGACCTACTCATGAGCATGTTAGCATGCTAATTTTAGCATTTAGCTCAGGACAATGCTGTACTAAAGTACAGCCTCACAACATGGCTGTATAAAAATCAAATATTTTTAGGTCGCAAAAGCACAATGAATGAAATAAAAATAAAAAAATAAGATAAAATAACATAATAAAACAAAACATAAAACATACTAAAAATACAGTATACCAGATCAATAAAAGGCTTTACATGATGTCAGACTAAAAAGTAATACTGGTTCTGCAAGCTCAAGATCTTGGTCAGCATACATATTTTCATTAATCCCAGCAGAATTTAAATGCCAAATGACAGATTTTGCCCTCTAGGTCATTTTCTAAAATACAAAGTCTTATCTTTTAAACTTTCTGGGCAGTAAACACTATTAAAGAAACTTGCTTTGACTAAAACTGTTCTTTCATCAAAATGAATGAAAATGAAAACCAAATAAAAATGGTTCCAACAGCTGTGAGTTGTAAAAATGCCCCATACCTTTCCTGGCCGTCTTCTGTTTTGTCTTCAATTTTCAGCCTCTTTACTCTGTGCATTAACCGTTCAACGACCCTGGACCAGACCTGACACCCTGTGGGAAACCAGGTGAACACATGAGAACTGAAGACGTCAAACAGAGAGGTTTGTTTCAAGATAAAATTAATTACAGATGGTTTCAACACCTGGTCTAACTAACAATCAAATCATTTAACAGAAGTTAATGTATGAAAAACCTAAACAGTGCCCTGAGCTAAGCTCACATGTTATCAACAGTAAAACTGTTACCGAAGTAACAGCCCCGCTCAGGGCAGATGTCTCTGTGCTGCTTCATCGAGGTGTTTCTGCTCTTCAGCCAACCTCCGCCACACTTCCAGCTGTGTCCCTGATATGGAGTCTCACTGAGTGACTCAGCTGCATGACTCTGACACTTCAATGTCTGTGTCATAACTGTGGCAAATGTTACACTGTCACTCTACATTTTACTGTCGGCTGCATACTGTAGGCTGTTGTGTTGCCTGGGGCCAATATAAAGTGCTAATTCTACAGAAGTTCATTTCCAGAAAACACTACAGTAGCTCCGGTCAGCCAATTCATGCGTCTGTCAGAAGAACAAATAAACTCAGAAATTTAGCATTAGTCATTTTGAGTGAATTATGGTGTAGGGAAACAAGGAGGCAAGGCTGAAGGTTAGTTTTTTTTCATTCATTCATTCTCCCCGAGATACAACCTGTTATCACATGACTTAAGTTCCAGGTCAGGTGATAACAACTGCTCAAACTCCATCCGCTGATCAAGGCAGTGAGATAAGGTTAAAATCCTTAAGTGGATTTGCTGACTAAAAGTCTGATTTACATTCTATATGATATAAACAGCCTTATATCTAATGTTTGAATGTATTTAAATGTTAAATGTTTAAATATGAAAAGCACGTTTGATTTTCATTATGCTTGCGAGGGCTAAAGACACACACTCATAAACACAGATATATATTTACATGTCTAGCCTCACAGTGATAATTGGCTTTAACCCTCTGAGACCCGCCAGGCCACCGGTGATCCCAGCTGACTTCCTGACTTTAAGAGGCTGTGGCAGGCTGAAGTTATAAAGCTATAGTGATGATAATAATATAATATGAAACTAGAGGACCTAAGGAATCCACTGGTACCAAGTGTTGTTTAGCCAAAGAGCAAAATCACATTCCAAAGTTTGGCTGTATTTTGGCGAGGGAAAAACAGCATGGCCAATTCACAGTGGTCCCTTGTACTCTCATCTCAAGATATCTTGATGAAAATGGGTTCTATGAATACCCACAAGTCTTGTCGTTACAGATGTGACCACTTTATGCTAGTCCCATGTAGTTTTAGACAAAAACCGTGCAGTTTTTTGCATGCAGTATAAATGTGTTATTTTCACTGATTGTATTTGAATCTTTCTGCAGACTGGGGTCCCTAAACAGTATTGGAACTGTGTAAACGAGGTGTGACTGGAAACAGAGACTCTTGTGGATTCAATGAGCCCAAATGTAATCATGTGTGATGATGTCAGCAGCCATTGTATCACATCACTGAATGAAATGACCTATAGTAACCTCAGACATTCACAGGTATATTGACAATAAGGGGGTTTCTCAGCAGTTTTCAGAACAGAAGTGCTCACCATCCAATCCCCGAAAAAAAGACAATTTATACAGAAATCTGCAAATGTCAAATGTTTTTGATACCAAATCACAGCATGGATTTTTCTATGGTGTCCCTTAAGGTCTTGGTGTCTCAATGTGGTATTTTGGAGGGTTTTTAGTCATTTTTATCAAGGTTCAAGGTTCAAAGTTCAGTTTATTGTCATTCATACATGTTAAAAACATGAGAACTAAATTCGTTACCCAGGTTCAGCAACATACAGAATAAATAATATTTAAGATAAACCTCTAATTAATAATTTATAACCTAAATGCCTATAATAAATACAACACAGTTAAAAATCTAAGCAGCATGTTAAAGTGCATAATAGTGCGTCAATAGCCGAATGCAGTCGCAGCAGTATTTAGTGCAATTCGAGTGGTTTAAAAAATAAGTAAAAAATAGCACCAAATATGTGTAGCAATTGGTATCAACTCAGTAATTGCTGCAACAACTTATACAGATGTAAGAGAGCATGAGAATGCCCATCATGTACTTCCATCATAATGTTCTAGGCCCTCATACACCCTAAACTTTCAAAATTTTAATAGACACCTGACCACACAATATATATTACAGATTTATGACTAGAAAAACTTGACACACTGTGCAGAGCTGCATATCAAATTAATTTTCTCGCTTCCAATTTTCAGATGATGTATACCACCTCTATGTGGCATATACTTTGACCTACTATCTCTCCATAAAGATCCCCTTTACCCCCTAAAGAAGGACAAAAAAGGGTCAAATAATAAAATATATATTACTATTTTCAGACTAAATGAATCCATGAATAAATAGTACGTAATATGCAGCAGTAGGTATTCTCAAACATTATGTCTATGGAAAATTGGAGCTCTGCTTAGTTTACAGTCCTGTGAAGACTTGTTTTCCAAAACAAAGTGTTTTTAATCGAAAGCAAATATAAACTCCTGTGAACAAGAGAAAAGCTGAATCACTGATGAAAAAGCCCCCCAGTGAGGTTTGTGTCTACTTTCTGTTTCTGGTTTTATAATCAGTTACCAGTAGCTATTTGTTTTGGTTGATATGTGGCTTCAACAACTTCACTGACAAGACATTGTATATGTTATCATGAACTCATCAACTATGAATGTACATACGCCATTATGTAATTTTCGGCACTATTTTTAACACAACACCTCGGGCATCATCCCCTCAGTCTGTTGCCACAATATGTATGCTGTCTAGTAACTTATCCACAGACAAACAATCAAGCTCATGTAACAGACAACAAATAGTTTCGTTTTCGACTCAGCTAATGACGCTAGAGTCCACATAGTAAACGACAGCTTTACACTACATAGACACCATGTGGCTAAGTGTGCCCTCCTCATCAAACCCAGTAAATCCTAACCATACATTAATTAAACCCACTGTGCACACTGCGTTGCTTGGTACTAAGCAGTTAGCCGCCCATTAACGTTAGCTAACATACCAAAACGGAAGCTAGTCAAAACAGTAAACACTCATTCATACAATGCTTACACTTTCTGCCCAAAACCTTGAAAGCTTCTCTCCTGTTGTCGAAGAAACGTCCTTGGTGGAAACACCGGTCGGGGTCTGAACAAATGACAGGAGTGAACTACTTTTCAGAGAGCAGGTAGCTTAATGCTAACAACGCGGAAGTAGCTTGTGAAATCAAACGTTACAGGATTATGACCTGTGACCCGGATGTTGTTCATCAAGTTTTTATCTGCGTATTCCGATAATTTATGGATTGTATTTATTCTTTAAACTAATTTAGTTTAAAGCAGAAATACCCCTTATGTTATTTTGTGGAAATATAAAACCATATTACCAGCAAAAAATTAGAAATCTTTGGTGTTTTCTTTAAAGTTGATCACCATAAAATCGTCTGAATACTGGTGGTATTCAGCTTGTTAAATATTAACTTAATCACAGAAAACGGTGTAATTGACTCATCTTTTGACTTGAAGGCTACAACTAATGATTATTTTCTCTTCTAACCACTGAGTTGTTTAGTGTGTTAAATATTTTTTTGATGACATGAAAAAAGAAATATCCATCAAAGTTTATGAGAGCCAAATATGCCATCCACAGAAGTCTTTTACCCAGTCCAAAACTCTTATTTAGTATACATTATCAAAGAAGAAAGGAAGTAAATCTGAACACTGGCATTGCCATTTGTGCTACAAAACAACTGAAACAATCAAACATTCATTAAAAAGATGGCAATTAATTTCCTTTCAATCTACTAATGGAATAACTAATTGTTTCAGCTCTACTTTGCAGGTCTTCCACTGATGCAAATACATCCACAACAAAATACAAACATCTGGGACAAGCTCTGTTTCCTTAAAACATTTATTTTTGTAATAATTTGTCCTTTTTTTCTTTTTGCGTAAGTGCAAAAAATGCACCCAAAAGAGCCACCTGAGGGAAGTCTACATCTTTAAATAAAAAAACAAGCAAAGTGTACATTTATAGTACAAAATTCTCTTTTTAAAAAATTGCACAGTTTGTGTATAATATATATATATTCATAATCTCAATTTTAAACAAACTTTAAAGGCTCAGAAAGTAAACAAAATACACCAAATGAAAAATAAAAACATTTTTCCCTAGAATTTAAAGCTGAGGAAACTTGAGACCCTGTTTTCATTTGTGTCCACCATAAATATACATATTTATATGCAAGTCTCTTTACATAAAGTCTCTGTGCTAGTGTTTGACCAGACAATCAAAATTATTGCAAAGTAGTTTAGTTCTACTATAAAACATGGGGATGGGGGTGGGGGATAAAAGCTTCTTTCTGCTGAACGTTCATTAAGTTATGCAAAAAAAAAAAAAAAACCCTGGGTTTCTTTAGACCCAATTTTGAATTTACTGGAATCCCTGCTTTCACAAAGGTTTCTGTTTCACAAACTGTGTGCATTCAACATTCCCATAGAACAATCCAGAACTCCAGTTTTGCTTTTTAGCGAAAACACACATTTCCCTGACTTCTTTTTTTTGTTTGTTTTTGTTTTTCAACTTTACACAGCACCACTGCCCAGAGGTGGTGGTCAGCGTCGATACGGGTGGAAGCCCTGTACGTTGTGGTTCTGCCCTCTGCCGAACGCGGTGGCGGCAGGCTGGGCGGCGGCGGGCTGTGCTGTCGGGGCCCCGTACGAAGCCGTCGGCTGGCTGGGGTCCGCGAAGCTGTGGCTGAAGGCTGTCAGGTCTTGCCCGTACCCTGTGGTGGGTGACAGAGGAGAGAGCAGGAGGGAGAGAATATGATGTCAATGTCCTGGTCACCACAGGGTGTTTAGGGAGAAGCCTTACTCCTTTAAAACATCGCCTACTAAAAAACTATTTTAATGTTGAGGAAAAATCCACCCCGTTACCCTTTCGCTATACAGTGTATTCCAATTGTTATTATTTTAATATTTTAATTTTTTTGAACAACAAACTATTGGAAGTATTGACAAGTCACAAAAAAAGTTTATCATCATAGTTACTTGCTGGTTTTAACAAATAACATCACATCACCCAAATCCTTGCCTCACTTCATTGCCTTCCTGTTTGCTTTAGTATTGATTTTAAAATTTTATTGATCACTTTTAAAGCACATCTAGGTCTGGCCCCAAGCTATACAGCAGAAATGTTGACCCATGTTGATCCTGGCTGTTCCTAAGTCAAGGCTTATATCTAAAGGTGACTCTGCTTTTGCCATCAGGTCCTCTTGGCTTTGGAACAACCTGCGTGAGGAGATAAGGATCGCAGAATCAGTGACTTTGTTTAAAATCACTTCTCAAAACCCACTTTTATGTGATGTCGTCTTTGTATTCCTTTTAACATCATTTCACTCTTTTTGTTTTGTATTTATAGTCAATATCACCTGCTTTTTTTTTTTATCTCACTATTTGGTTTTTACTCGTTATATTGTCTTCCAAGTATCCTTCTTTTGCTTTGTCTGTCAAAGCACTTTGTAAACTCTTTGTAAATCTATTTAATTCAATTCAATTCCATTCCGTTTTAGCAGGTAGCAATAGGGCCGGTCCAAAGGAAAACCATGGCCGAATTTGTTCCCAGCCCGACCCTACCTGTAACGTTATCCCCATCTCTCGCCATGTTTCCCAGCTCAGCTGCCTGCTCCACCAGTAGAATGGTGGTGCTTGCTGTGCACTACATCCAATACATCCTGGATACAGCATCTCCATCTGAGTGTTAAAATGGAGCATCTGTATTTTTGACAGTACTGAAAATAATACCGTCAGGATTTTTAAATACTCTGATATACCGTGATACATTGATACCACCCAAGCCTAGCCCGAGCATACTACTTTATAATCAGCCTTTAATGCACTTGATTTTTTTTTCCTGATAACTGGTAGATTAGATCAATTTAATATCTTTTTCTTTACTTTGTCCAGTAATTAAACTTTGACTAGATCTACATATTTCATATATATTGGGATCTAAAAGATGTACTTCTTTCTATTGTTAGGCTACAAAGGGCTCTGAGATGTGTCTGTGATAAAGGGCTCTATACATGACTGAACTGTGAAACACCAAACCACTTAATGGACCAAGATTGGAATAATAGTCTGTTTCTGTATAGCAAGACTTGAGGGTTCATGATGGGTTTTTCCTCTACATACTGTAAATACTGTATTCCTTCAATGAGCCCTTTAATGTTGAAAATGATTCTGTAACAGTGTTAAAATGTATAAAGACAAATGTGACAATTTCAGGGGAATTAAAAAAATCACTTGAACCAGGCTTCATTGGGGAAAACAATCTCCAGATTATCTTTATAATCAGTGCAACACGCACAATGTTCTTCTCCTCAGACACTGGATGGCACCATGTCCCTGCAAACAGACAAGGGAATCAAAGTGACACCCAGGGAAGGAAGCTAATCTGCCTGAAAAAAAAGAGGCTGGGGCAACCCAAAATTAACCAGCCACTGTCCGAGCCAAAGGGACGTCAGGGGTGAAACAAACTGAGTGGTTTATATCAAATGGCTGGTAGAATATGAAAACCAGTTGCAGCCAAATCTTTTCCAGCATCATGTTAGCTATTTTCCTACCCTGGTAACACCCAGGTTAGCATTGATTTTGAAATATCACTACTAAATACTGGAATGGGGGAACCTTATAAATAACTAGTATGAAAAGACGAGATAGAAAGACAGAAAGAAAGAATGAAGGCAGGAAAAGTTAGAAAATACAACACATATCTTTTAGGGTGTTCAAAGTGCTCCATGAACGGAACATAAAATAAGAAATCTGAAGAACAGGGAGCAGTCCCGACAGGACCGCCTGACAGAAGAATCTGAGAGGAATTGGAAATTTACTGCCATTGTGTCCTCCTTTAAATCTTCTTTCCTTTCTCATCCCTTTAGCTATAATGTGGAGACAGTACATGGGGGAAAAAAACAACGGGTGAATGGACTGCTGATGCATAGAGACAACTGAACCATGAACAAATTTTCTGACAATTAGATCATCCTTCTATAATCAGCAAAGCAATGCGGACAGAGAGAGTGGACAAAAAAGGAGGACATGGTTAGTCTTCGTATAGTAAAACTACAGCCACTGAGGGAGATCACTGCTTAGAGCTACGAGTGCCAAATTTAAATGTAAATGTCTTTCAAATCCACTCAGCGACAGTCGATGGCTGTGTCTTACTATACAAGAGTATTCACAGTAATTTGTATGTACATGCAAAATGTACATGCAAAATACGAAACACTGAGCAAAAGAAAAGAGAAAAAGAACCAGGTTGCAGCTCTATAAACACTACAGTACTGAACAAATGCTACCTTTGTGGTTGGAGAAGACGATGCTGGCACCTACCTGCACTATATCCTCCCTGCTCATCCTGACCATAACTGTGAGAAGGACGCGTTGGTCCGTAGGCAGAGGGGTCCTGAGGGTAGTTACCCAAGCCTATCAGGGAGATGAGGAGACCAGGTTGACTGAACCCAGATACTGCTGGCCGACTACTTATCATAGTTCCCCCCTTGCTGAGCTAACAGAGCTGCACATTTGTACTCAGTTACTGCGTCTGCACTATGCTTGGAGAGGCATCACTGCTCAGCTTCATCTGGAAGTCAAAACAGAATGGAGTGTGAGTGTGTGAGCTATCTGCCAACACGCCTGACTTTTTAAATCATGCCAGCCTGGTCTCATTAAATTTTGTGAAATGTGCATGATGTGCTAAGATGCAAGTAACGTAATAAAAAAAAAAAGATCCCACCAAGATAATACTACGAGAGGGAAGCAACTGGCACTAGATCAACCGTACCAGTGGTTTTGCATGCTGTAGTCCATTGAATACAACCTGTATATACGTCACAACAAATGCCGTAAGTGTCTAGATTGATTTCCTATCTTCCTCACTTTCAGAACGCTGAGACAATTGACTTCAAATTGACTTGATTTACCTTTGTGTCACAGTACGGTACTGTTTTGTGTACTTGAGCTGCAAGCACTGATCATTTTCAGAACTTTATGTTATTGGTGAAACCCCTGTTCTGAACAGCGTGCATTCGGCGTGCAGGAGTTCGCGCGTCATTCAAGGACGTTTTAACATCCCAAAGTTAAGCTATAGCCTACTGTTGAGAAAATATCACTACCATGGGCATAACTGAAGGGACAATGTTAAGTTAATCTCTATAAACAGATATCTACATAT